GGGCTCGGGTCTCCATCCTTGGAGGAGCGGGAGCCGCCAGGTGCTGCCCTGCGTGGTCCCCTCCTCCTGGATGGGCTGCGTGGAGCTGGCTCCCCTTCCCGGCGACGACACCAAGCGAGTGGGAGGACTCGCCTGGAACATCTCATTGGTTTTTAGCTAAGTGAAACGTTAGCTCAAGGTTGTGCTGGCTGCTCCGTGCAGCATCTGTGCTGTTCTACGGCTGATACGCAGCTTGTCCTGGTGGGGATGTGCAGAGAGCATCACCCCACGTCGTGCAGCGCGGCGGGCACAGCGATGACGCACGAGGTTGGCGCTCGAGGTCCCACGCGGGGCCCGGCTGGTCCCGGGCTGCCCTTCGCCAGGGCACAGCAGTGCACGGGGAGGGTTATGGAGCTCAGTGCTGCCCGGGGGGTGACGGGGCTCCCCTCATCCACAGGAGCCTGTTTGCAGCTTGGTGGATGTTTTGCCAGACTCCCCTCCTGCTTTGCCCTTGGGAGCAGCGTGGGCAGCTAATGGGAGCAAATGGATCCGGAGCAAGCAGCAGAGCCGCGCGCTGCTCCCATTAAGGTTCCCGTGTTGTTTGCATGTGGAGCGAGGGGAATGGGGACCTTCCGAGCTGAGTTTCCCTCTGCTCCTGGCCCTGGCTGGCACAGAGGGTCGGCAGCGCCCGGGCCGTGGTGTGGAAATGGAGCCGGCATTCCCGGCCAGGGATGCTCCAGGGCTCAGCATCCCTCCCATCTCCCGTCAGGCGCTTCTGAGCAGAGCTGCAACAGGGAAAAGCTGTTTCCAAGTGAAATCTCCATGGAAATCAAAGCACGGAGCCTGTTCCCACTTGCCTGTCACCTCTTTGCAACGCAGCCATGATGCTCTTCCCCTTCTCGAGGCTGCTCTGCCCTTTCCTCCCAGCCCCAAAGCAAACACAGACTCAGATCTGAACTTCCTAAAGGGAGTGAAATATGAGGGACTCTCAGCTCTGGACAGGGAGGTGTTCAGGGCTGCCCCGAGGCTAGTCCCTGTCCCTCCTTCCCGGGAACTCGCAAATCCGCTTTTCGGGCTGTTTCATTTGCTGCGTTGGAACCAGGTCCCAGGGCACACAGGGAGGCCCCACGCGCTGTTTTGCTCTCGGCGTGTTTCATCCTGTCCCCGTAAAACAGGAAATGTGGCAACGGCTCATGGTTTAGAGCTTCTGTTTTTCTGCCCTGGGCCCTGTTGCGTGTTCTGCACCAGAAACGCTGCAAACCCCCAGCTCGGGGTGAGCGTGAGAGCAGGAAGGAGCTGATCTGCAGGTTAACGCAGAGCCACAGAGGGGTAAAAGTGAGATATTTTCTTCAGTTCCTGGCCCAGGTGGTTGCTTTTCACACACGTATACCGTTTTCTGCAATGGAAACGGTTAAGCCATCTGTCACCAACGCCAACAGGTTAATAAAAGCAAATTAATTCTCCACCAGATGCACGATGACTTGTAAAATGACCCCCAGAGAGCATAAAATGGCTGTTAAGCCCCGTCACTGTCACATTGCCATAACACAGCGTTCCTCTTTCAATGGCACTTGAACAGGGTCGGGGAAGGAGCCAACCTGTTGTCCAGAGCCGTGCGCTCCGGCGAGGGGCTGGGGCATCGGCCTCATTTTCCGAGGGTGTTTTCCCAGATTTCTGGTTTTACCTAGTGTCTAGGCATCAGAAATGGGGAAAACGAGGTTCAAGCGACTGGTGCTGAGCAGGGCAGCAAACACCCCTGTCCTTGCACAGGTTGGTTCCTACCAGGAGCCCTGGCTGTGGCTGTGTCACATTACTGGGACCTGGGGCTTCGTTTACCTCCCGCTGTTTCACTATTGTACCTAGATTTTCTTAGCCCGCTTTTGGATGTGGATTTGCTCCCAGGGTGGTGCAGATCAGGGGGCAGCAGCCCCATGGCAGGTTGATTTTGCAGGCGGGCGAGTGCGGTTGTCCAGAATCCTGGTGTTGTGTTTTTGGGGCGTTCGTGGGCTGTTGCAATCGCTGCTCGTGTGGGAAGTGGGAGCTCAGCTCCAGCTTCCACCAAGGACTGTGTTGGTCCCGTTCCCTGCAGAAAACCACCCACGGGCGCTTGGTGCCGGTGGCTCCTGAGCCTCCTCCCTTCATGTCCCCCCATGTCCTGGTGTCCCCCCGTGTCCTGGTGTCCCCCTATCACACTGGTGCCCTGCGCTACCCCCCTGCGGCCCCAGCCGTGGTTCTGCCTCCGAAGGGGAAGTTCCGCGAAGCCTCCGGAGCGAGAGCGGAACCGCGAGAGCTCTGCCCCTCCGGCATCGCCGCGCGCCGACGCGCTCTGCGGTTTTCGGCAAATGCGCAGAATTTCCAATCCTTTGGGCAACAGGAAGGCACTGCTTTGGGGAATAATTGAGGGAAGATTTAAGTTCAGATCCTGCCTGGATGAAGCTGCGGGAAGCGGTTCCCAGGAAGGCTGCAGCTTTGGGAGGGGGTTCCTTGCGTGGCAGATGGAGCCTGTGGATGCTCTAATTAGCACGTGCGTTTTGGCTTGTTGCATGGCACAAGGAAACTCTTGGCAGGTGCAAGCAGTGACTGGGTAGTGCTTTTAAAAGTAGGTTTGTGATCCGGGCTTTTTTCCCTGCTCTATCCCACATTTCCCTATCCGCATCTGCAAGGCAGCAGCAAGTGCTGCCTCCGAACCGTACGTAGTCCCTCTCCATGTATTTCCCAGGCACAAGGAGAGCCGGATAGGTGCCCTGTTGTCCAACAAGACCTGTCTCTTCTTATTCCAGAATGTAGCAAAAACCTTGGAAGAAGAAAAACGGGCACCTCCAACCGTTCAGGAGATCAAGCAGAGGATCGAGAAGTACAACGCGAAGGTGACCAACTGCCTGCTCATGAAGCTGGTAGGTGCCCGGTGCCGGTTCCTCCGGGCTGGGAACCGAGCTGGCCCGTGAACCCGCCAAGGCAGGAGCACCCGGAGCTCCTCGTGCCCTGCGGTCCTGCCCAGCTCCATCCCGGAGTTTGTTTTGCCCTAGTTTTACTACACTTGGGATAACCGGTCCCTGCCGCTGTCCTCCTTCAACTGCAGAAGGAGCGCTCCTTCGATGGCCAAGGGGAAGGCTTTTTGTTTTAAGAGTGTAATAATTTTTAAGAGCTATAAGAACAGCAGTTACGTAACTTTCTGCTGCTTGATAACATCTCAAATCAACACAGAGTCTATCTAAAACAATAAATATTACTTAAAACAATTTTCTTTCTGAGGACTGCACTGTGAGCTGTGCTGGAGTGCCTCATGCCCTTGATTTTTATGAGCTACTAACTTAGGGGTGATTTGGACCCAGCGTTTTCTTGAGTTACTTTTATTTAAGTGTAGCAAAAACACTATGTGGGGACTGGCGAGCCCTTCGTGTGCCCTTGCTGGGCAGATGAGCTGGGCTGTCCACCACGAAATGTCTGCGTACAGCCAGGGCTTTCCTGGGATGCTGCAGAGTTAGGGAAAGAGATCTGGTGTGAGACAGGGTGATTTGAATGCTGGTTTATTGCATGCAGATGTGAGAAACCCAGAAACTTCAGGAATACAGTGAGGAGCTCCAGCTGAGCACCAGTATCAAGGCCCACACAGAGTTTTCCAATCTGCATTTAAGAGCAGCTGCTAATTACATAGAGCTTTTTTCAAAACCAACTTGTAGCAAGATCGATTTTAAATAAGGCAAGATAGGACAGATGCTAGGAAGAGATGAGTCATTATGAAGCAGTAAGAAACAGGAAAAAATCAGCAGCGACTAACCCAAATTGCTGGTTACGTTTACATGATTAATAAGAGGCCCTCAGCCTCCTAGCAGGGCACTAAGCACAGCGGAAAGTTCTTCTGCCGTCATCCCGCAGGCTGAAGCATCGTGTTAGGAGACCAGGAGGTCCCTCGTGTCGGGGAAAAGATGACCACGACCTGAGGACTGCACAGCCACGGAAATCTCCTGGGTTGTGACTCTGATTTCCTTTGCTCTAGAATGATGATGGCACCTACACGGGCTTCATCAAAGTGCACCTGAAACTGCGGCGTCCCGTGACGGTGCCGGCGGGGATCCGGCCGCAGTCCATTTACGATGCCCTCAAGGAGGTGAACCTGGCTGACATGACGGACAAGAGGACGTCCTTCTACCTGCCGCTGGATGCCATCAAGCAGCTGCACATCAGCAGCACCACCACGGTGAGCGAGGTCATCCAGGGGCTCCTGAAGAAGTTCATGGTGGTGGATAACCCCCAGAAGTTTGCACTTTTCAAGGAGATGCGGAAAGACGGGCAAGGTGAGTTCATGCCCTTAGAGCTGGGAATGTGGAAGGGTTTTCCTTGGACCTGCCAGCTTTCCTTCAGCCAATGAGTTTCTCTCACTATTTCGTGTTACAGAAACAGTGAGTTTCCTAATGGGGCCCTCTTAAGTTCTCTTCTCTCCTGCCATGGGCTAAAAAGAATTATAGACAAATGGTGGTAGATATAGACTTCTGTTGTGCATCTGTGAAGCTGGAATTAGAGAAATTAGGTGTGCTATCCATGCTGGTGCAGGGTGTCTGTGACAGAGAAAAGCACCAGATACCCCATGCTGGTGCAGGGGGTCTGTGACAGAGAAAAGCACCAGATA